GATCGGCAGATCTGATGGGCTACTGCTGCCCCCAGTCTCTGAATCTCCAGGCGACTGTGGTTTGAACTCTCTTACCGCCTTTCACTCCTCCCCCTCCTCCGCAGCCCCTTCTCCCACCGCCTCCTCCCACCCCTAGCTGTGGCCTTGTTTCCTTGTATTAGCACGTGAGCTCTGAGAGTCTGGGCATGACCGTGCTTCTCAAAGTGGGTGGTGTTCTTTGTTAAATGAAGGAATCATTCAATAATTGAGGTAAATGCATTTACTTAAGGAAGGTGAAGCTCTCCAACCCTGATTTGTAATTCTTTTAAGTTGGTCATAGCTCCAGAAAAAAATATTAGGTTTTTCATATCATCACTGTTTGGCACAGGGTAGTTCTACAATTGATCACAGAACTGTGGAAACAGGGCATTTAATCCAACCCTCTTATGTTCTTTAAGGATCAATTATTGTAATCAAGTGAAAAATATCCCCTTTTTTGTTATTGCCATTTAAAAATGTACGAAACTAAGTAACTTCATAGAACAAGAATGCCATCTGTCCTAATCTGCTCTGATCTGTGTGGAGAACTGGGAAAGCTGGAGGCAGAGACACTGTTCCGAGACGCCTGGGCACCAGCTCTGCAGCCTCTCAAGATAAGGATGTACTCTTGCCGTCGATCAGCTTGGTTCGGTCTTTGACACGCCATTGTTCTTACGCAGAACCCTGTGTGACATTCCCTAAAACATAAGCTCACGCAGTCTTAGTGTAATTTCCTTAGGAAGATGCTGACGAGGTGCATCTGAATATAAAAGAGTACCAGTGAGGGAGACTGGCTTTGTTAGCAGCGCTGCAGCACTCACTAAGTGAAGAATGTCAGCAGTAGTCGCTCGCCCCACAGGGAACGAGAGACGGAGAGAAAGCAGGCAAAGACCTGCCGCCTCTGCCCCGGCCTTGCCTAAAGGCCGGGGAGAAAGATTTATTTCTCTGCCTAAATTAATCAGGAAGTGTGTGGCCCTATGTGCTCCATTCCTGCTTTATTTTTTAAATTTTATCTACTTTTAAATTTCCTGTGTATTTTGAAATAATCACAGACTTACAGAAAAGTTACAAGAATAATAACAAAGAATTCTCATTTTACCCAGATCCAAATGTTAACACTTTATCATATCTTCGTTATCACCCTTTCCATCATCATATATATTTTTTTATTTAAAGATTATTTATTTACTTATTTTTAGAGAGGGGGGAAGGGAGAAAGAGAAGGAAATATCAGTGTGTGGTTGTCTATCTAGTGCCCCCTACTGGGGACCTGGCCTGCAATCCAGGCATGTGCCCTGACTGGGAATTGAACTGGCAACCCTTTGGGTTGAGTGCAGGCCAGCACTCAATCCACTGAGCCACACCAGCTGGGCCAATACAAATTTTTAACTGTTGTAGATATTATACCCATATATTTCTAAATACCTGTGCATATTTCCCCCAAACAAGGATGTTGTCTTACACAATTACAATGCAATGATCAAAATCAGGAAATACACTGATACAGTACTATTACCTAATATGTAGATCTCATTAATATTTTGCCAAATGACCTAATACAAATGTCACGTTTACTTGTCATATTAATGGAATCATATAGTTTTATTCTCATTATTTGGAGAACATTCGTTTCTGTGGGATCATACAGTTTTTTCAATTTAGCATAAAACATTAGAATCATTCATGTTGTCCTGTGTATAAAAAAATTGTCTTTTTTCATTGCTGAGTAGTATTCCATTATTTGGATATAACATATTTACTCATTTGCCAGCTGAGGAAGATTTTAGTTATTTTCAGTGTGGGACTGTTACAAATAAAGCTGCTATGAACATCCACTCACAGTTTTGATGTGTGAATGTGAGTTTTCATTTCTCTAGATACATACCCAAGAGTGTAATTTCTGAGTCACGATGTTCAGCTTTGTGAGAAATGCCAAACTGTTCTCCAGAAATAGGTCTACATTTTATGTTTCCACTGGCTATGTACGGGAGATTCAGTTTGTTTGTATCCTCACCAGCATCTGGTATCTCACTGTATAGATTTAGTCTGTGTTTCTATGGGGACTTACAGAGTACTGTATCAGGTTCTTCATAACCATCCATATATCTTCTTTGGGAAAGTGTTTTTCTTTTCAAATACTTGACTCATTTTTTAAAATTGTATTGTTTTCAGCCTGGCTGGTGTGGCTCAGTGGATTGAGTGCCGGCCTGCAAACCAAAGGGTCAATTCCCAGTCAGGGCACATGCCTGGGTTGTGGGCCAGGTCCCCAGTAGGGGGCATTTGAGAGGCAACTGATTGATAACGTTTCTGTCCCTCATTCTCCCTCCCTTCTCTTCTGAAAGCAAATAAAAAAATCTTTAAAAAATTGTATTTTCTTATTGTTGTGTTTTGAGAGTTCTTCATATATTCTAGATACAAGTCAGATATGTGATGTGCAAATATTTTCTCCCAATCTGTAGATTTTCTTTTCATCTCTCTTCACAGTGGTGAGAGAGAACATGCTATGGTTGAAGAGCTGACAGCAGTCCTTTTTGACAAGAGTAAAGAACATGAAGAAATGCAATGAGACTGGAGAGGCAGTTAGACACTTACAGTCGATGTTAAAGTGTTTGGCATCTGTTCTAAGGGCCGTGAGAAGCTGTCGAGTGCTGTTAAGCAGAGGTGCGAAATAAATCATTTTGTGTTTTTAGAGATCCCTCTGCCTGCAGATGAAGGACAGATCATTGGAGTGGGCTGAAGTGGTTTTATGGAGACCGGTTAGAAAATCATTGCAGTAGTCCACACAAGAAGTAACAGTATCTCAAACCAGAGCGGCAGCAGTGGACATGGAGAGGAATGGACGGGTCCGAGAGATAAGAAGGAAATAAATGCCTAGCTGATACCGTTATGTCCAGTCCTTGAGGGGAAATGTTTAATATTTCAGCATTATATTTGATATTCAGCTGTAGGGTTTTTTTTAGATGTCCTTCATCTAAAGAAGTTTCCCTTCTAGTTTAGCTTGCTGAAAGCTTTTTTAAAATCATAAATACATGGCGGACTTTATTAAATGCTTGTTCTGCATCAATTGAGATGATTACATGCTTTTTCTTCTTTACTGTGGGGAACTACATTGATTTTTTCGTGTTGAATCATTCTGGGATTTGCTAATGTTAAGGATGTCCACTGAATGCCCCACAGAGAATTCACCAGTGAAGTCAAAGGTGCGGTTCTCAGCAGCTCTTTGCCCACACCGCCACGTCAGCTCTGATCAGAATGCACTCCTTGCACAGCTGCTGCCTCAAGGCACACTACTCCCACTTCAGGACTCAGTTAAGACAGCACGTGGTCCACGATGGGTTCCCACTCACAGCTACTCAGTCTGGTTTCTGAGACCCTCCACTCTAGTTATCTCATCCTTTTGTAACTATTTTGAAACTATTTCTGTGTGTTCACTAACCCTACCTGACTAAAACTCCTCCAAGGATGATTTTAGTCCACCTCCGTGCTTCTCAGTGCTTGGTACAGGGCCCGGTGTAGGGTGCTCAGTAAGCGCTTGTTGACTGAATAAAAGAAGAGAGAAGGCTTTGTCTTTTCAAGCTTCAGTGCCGAGAGTGTCATCCTTGTGTGGACACATAACAGGTAAAGCCCAGTAGTTGGTCAGTATTTCCCAAACAATTAACTCCCATATCCCATTTGCAGAAGTGGAAGCAGTTCAGAAGCCACCATCCTTTAATGTTGGATTCATCTTCATTGAACACGTTACCTTAAATATCCCTGGGAGGATCTGGGAAGACTTTACCTAGTGATAGGTAGGTTTTAAAGCATCAACAGAATTGTTCCTGGAGCTAGGTGGAAAAGTGTCTTAGAAAAAGGAAATAGTGTGGGAGCCTGATGAAATCTTTCCATGGTCCAAACTTTGGCCTGACGTCCAACCACTTCCTTTTTCTACCTCATCTCTTCCTACTCCCTCACCTGTCAACTTCATTCCCAGCGCACTTGACCACCTGTAGTTCTCTCGGTTTTTCTTCGCTCCGAGCCAATGTACATGCTACTCCCTGAACTTGGAATGCCTTGTTCCCTGATTTTCTTTAACTTGGCTAATTCCTGTTTGTTCTTTAGATATCAGCTTAAATTTCCCTCCTCTAGGAGGCCTTCCCTGGCCACCTGCCTGCCCCTCCCCCCCCCATTAGTACACACAGGGAAAAGCTCTGAGACCGAAAATTTACTTCTGTAAGCACAGGGCAGAGAAAGACTGAAGAAAGAGGCTGACCACTCCGGTCTGGTAATTAATAGAGTTTATTAAAGGAAACTTACACACAGGGCATGCCATGGGCAGCTGCAAGATGAAATGGATCCATGCACCCTTGGCAGGGCCAGAGAATTATATAGGACATGGGGGGTGGGGGCGGGAAGATAGTCATGGGTAACAGTACACAAATGCTACCTGCTATGGGAAATTCGTTCACGTGCTTGACCAGGTCAGGATAACAAGTTGTGAACCAGTACGTAGCAGGAGACAAGAGAGGGGTGCTGATGTATGTTATCAATTATGTTATGTTATGCTATCAATTACGATCGCACAGTCTCTAAGGGGCGTTTGCAGAAAGCAGCCTTCGAGCTAGCCCGGGTCCGGGCTGTGGTGCAGCAGGGCCGCGTCACGGGACAGTCCCTGCTCCACACGCCCCAGGACTGAGTGCAGCGCCCTTCCACTGTGTCTCACAGCATCGTCAACTTACTTTCTTGCAGCACTTGTAGAACCATTTTAATTTCTTTTTAGTCTTTTGTTGCATATTTTTCACTAGACTTAGAGGTCTTCAAGGGCAGCACCGTGTCATCTGTTATTTCCTGGGCCCAGAACAAAGCTTGGCACAGAGTAAACCTCTGTGCCAATATGCATTTCTTCAGTGAGTGAATGGATGAATGAATGAATCCCACAAGAATGGCAATTGCAAAGAAAGATTAAAAGAACAGGTAGCTGGTATACTTTTTCTTTCCACACCCAGCATTCTCCTGGTGTGCAGCCTGCAGATGTGGAGGAAGTTGTCAAGAAGGGTGTGCAGACCCTTGTGATTGGCCGAGGGATGAGTGAGGCCTTGAAGGTAGGTATTGGTGAACACGAGCATCCTGGGGACAGCGGCTGATCTCTTGGCACTTTAGAGATATGTTCTTGTTGGGAGTTCATCTCTTTATGTCATGCACCCTCATCTTGCTGGTGAGCTGACAGATGGCCCAGCATAAAACAGCGGCTGCACACTCTTCTCCTCCCCAGGGCTAGACTCTGCAGTCTCTGCCCAGCTCTGGGCCTGCATCGTTTCAAGTGTTTCTCAGAAAGCCCCAGTCTTGGAATTTCCACATGTATCAACCTTTAGTTCTTCAGAATTTTATAGCACTTCATATTTTTATGGTAGATTTTACAATGTTTTTTTTTCTTTTCTTGGATGCATTGAAGTTATGTTTCCCCCTTTATGAAAAAAATTTATTTATTTTAATTTTACTTACACAAAGGGTTGATGCAGAAATGTATGGGGGAAGAGGAAAGGTTTCCCCTCCGCAGCCTCCACACTTGTGTGTACTGTTCCAGTTCTCTGTACCTCTACACATACATACACACTTACACATGCAGATACACATGCATACACTCACAACCGCTCTCACATAAATAGGTCACACTATACATACTGTTCTGTAACTTTATTCACTTACATGATTACACTATGGACAGCTTCTCACCGAAGTGTATAGAGAGGTACCTCATTCTTTATACAGATCTTCTAAAATCCAGCTCCCTACTGATGAAGGTGCCCTTTATTTATTTATACTTTTCATTTTAACCTAGTTTTTTCCCCATTAAAATAATCCCTAACTATAAAGCTACCATTATTATAAAACTGTTCAAACATTTAGAAAGTAAAGTTGGGCATTTAAAAAAATATTTCAGTGCTTTTCTGAAGAGGCAAGTCTAATTAAAATATATAAATAATATTAGGACAAGCCAGAGTTGAGAATATCTGATAATAGCTGCCACTATTGAGACACTTTTATACGAGGTCTGTCCAGAAAAAGTCCAGCCATTGTTAATATAACGAGAACAGTGTGCACAATATCGATGCAACCTGGTGACAAGGAGAGTGGACTGGAGTGCGCATGTGTGAACAATGACGACTTCACTGTACTAGTCAGTGGGAGCAGTAGACACCACTGAGTGTGTGTACTGTGTGGCCGTCACATTCAAAGTGACTGAGCAAGTAGAGCATCAAATTTTGTGTTAAGCTTGAGCATTCCTCTGTAAAACTGTTCAGATGATTCAGAAGGCCACAGCTATGGGCAACTGGTGATTGGCAGCTTCCTCACGACACATGCCCACTCATGCATCACATCTTGTACAGAGATTTTTGGCAAAACATCAAACCACCCAGGTGACTCAGCCCCCTACAGTCCAGATTCGGTGCCCTGTAACTTCTGGCTTTTCCAAAAACTAAAATCACCTTTGAAAAGGATGAGAGTTCAGACCACTAATGAGATTCAGGAAAATATGACAGAGCAGCTGATGGCAACTGGGAGAACTGTGTGAGGTCCCAAGGTGCTACTTTGAAGGGGACTGAGACATCACTGTCCTTGTATCTTGTATCTTGTTCAATAAATGTCTCTAATTTTCATATTATATGGCTGAAAACCTTCTGGACAGATCTTGTATAAGTTCACTTACAAATATGTATACAGCACTTTCTACAGGTTAGATACCATTCTAGGCACATGGGATGACAAGAAAAACAAACGTTCATGACCCCCATGGATAATTGAAAAAGTAGACAGTTTCAAATCATAGTAAGTTCTATGAAGAAAGTGGTGACTTATGAGAGGCTCCTCTAAGTGGTGTGCTCAGGAGCGGCCTTTCCAAGAAGACAATGTATTACTTAACTCCATCTTCACACCAACCCTGTGAATCAAGTATTATTATCTCCATTTTACAAGAGAGGAAACTACGGTTGAGAGACTTAAAATAGCTGGCTTAAGGTGTCTTGATGGTACAAGGCAAAGTTAGAATTAAGTCTCAGGTTGGGCAGACTCGAACATTTAACATTCACACAGTTTGGGGGCTGCGCCATGCTAGGCATTCAACATGTCTTTAGCTAAATTAATTCTCATACCAACCATGTGAGCCATGTATTATTATCCCTATTTTCAGACATGGAAACAAAGGCTTAGAGAATTTAATTCACTTACCCAGGGTCATGTGGCCAGCAAGGACTTAAATCCAAAGCTAACTCCAAATCCATTCTCTTTCCATTTCCATTTCATCTGACCGTTATGCATACATATCATGATACTTCTGTCTCCTTCTTAGAAGCCTTTTTCACTGCTTGGGGCTCACTGCCAAATTCTGGACCCATGCCATTCTGGGTGATTGAGGGGTGACGGTTGTCCCTGTTTAGTTCTGTAGAGTATACTTGCCTTGTGACAGAAAGCAAACACTGGGGGCCTTCCCACACCACTTACTCACCTTTTTCCTTCTTCCCAGGTGCCCCCGTCAACCCTGGAGTACCTCGAGAAGCAAGGCATTGACGTGCGGGTCCTCCAGACAGAGCAGGCAGTGAAGGAGTACAATGCCTTGGTTGCCCAAGGTGTCAGGGTGGGAGGGGTCTTCCATTCCACCTGCTGATGGAGCCTTAAGAGAATAAATTACTAAGCAGTAATGCCTGTGACTGTCACTCGTACCGCTCTCCACACCAGCCTTCCCGAGCATTTTTGAACAGCTGCTCTTGCCAGGCCCGAGCTAGGTAGGCTGAGGGGTGCATGGGTGGCGAAGGCAAGGTCCCCGTCCTTGGTGGGGGAGGGGGAATGCTGAAAACCAGGAGAGGAGATGGACGTTTACCAAAGTTTAATAAAGTGGTGTTAGATCAGTATGACAAAATGACGGCAAAAATAAAGAAAATAACTTCCTTTGAAGGACAAAGAAAAACTTCAGTACATTAAAATCACATTTCAGTTGATGCTTTCGAATGTTTAGCCCTCAGGCCAACCAGTATTTTATATGCCAGGCCCTGCTGTCGTCTGCAGAGAAACATTAAAAGTCTTATCCTCACGAGGTGTATATTCTAGTGGGGGAAATAAGCAAGTAAATGAATACATACGTAATATAAGTAGACTCTGTTATGATGAAAAATAAAGCAGGAGAAGAAAAGGGGTGATTGGGCTAGTTCAGTATGTGGCTGGGGAAAGTCTCCGCGCAAACAACACGAGCAGAACCTTGACTTCATTCAGAGAGCGCTTCAGTAGTGGTGGAAGGAGCTATTCCCAGCACTCAGATTCAGGCAGACTGTTCTACTAACTAAACCCCAGCCTCTCCAGACAGTTCTCTCTGGGCCTCTGATTCCCTCACTATTAAATGATGGGGCTGGACCAGATGCCCTTTAATAGTCCCTACTGCCATGGATAGTCTTTGTTCTACCAACTGCCAGGTGGCCTTTGTGAAGCCTTAGAATGGAACGACAGAAGTAGAATAAGTTAGGAGCATCACCTTATTTTTCATCCTCCCTCCCCCACCTCTTTAAAGAATGATGAGCATGGGCTTTGGTGTCAAATAGACTTGACTTTGAACTGTGGCTTTCTGCCTGCCACTCAGTGGTTGGGCACTTATTTAATCCTTAGAATTTCACTGTTCTCATCCGTCAGACAGGGCTTATATTAGTACCTGGAGTTACTGTAAGTATTAAATGAGGTAATTCATAGAAAGTCTTAGCACACTGCCTGGCATGTGGTAAGGATTCAATACATTGAAGCCACTGTTGTCATTATCTATTAGTGGGGCTGCTGAGTAAAGCCAGTTAAGTTTCGTTTTTCTGGAGCCTGAAGGAACTATCCACTGTGTCTCATTTACTCAGCAATTTTTTATGCCCATTTACTGCGAGTCTCTTACTAATTTTCTTATAACCAGTTATTGCTGGGCCCTGGGGGTACAGAAATTAATAAGTTTGTTTCTACCCTCGGGAGTTATAGGAAAAGACACACAAACAACAAAGATAGTGTGTCAAAATTAGTAATGGTTACAAGGATGGACTAACCCTATCATGATGGAAGAATATTAGGGAAGGTATCACTAAGGACATAATAGAACCTGAGTCTTAAAGAAGATGATGTTCATTTACTCACCAAACAAATATTTGGCAACACTTCAACTAGAGAGGTACCAGGCATGGTATCTGTCACAGCCATAAGCAAACGAAATCGCCCTTGTTGAAGCAGCAACCTCAGCAAAGCTTTTAGTTTTCCATGGTCTGACCACTTGTCTGGACCAGTTGGTCACTGACCTAAGGTAAAGGGAGCCAGTCCACAGAGAGAGCAGCAATTTAAGATGTGGTTTGGCAAGAAAAAATGAACTTAAACCATCATAATGGAAAGCAAAGGGATTTTTCCAAGATCACCCAGCAATTGGCAGACCTAGATAGAATCCAATGCTGTGTCTTTTTTATAATTTTATTGAGGTATAATTGACATATAACATTATATTAGTTTCAGGTGTACATCACAATGATTTGATATTGGTATATATTGCAAAATAATTACCACAGTAAGCCTAGTTAACTTTGTATAGTTAACTAGTCTTGCCTTTATAGGGCTATTTGCCAACATTTAAATGAGATAATATATATAAAAATCCCCAGCTCTCAGGTTTGATGCTCAGTTCCTTCTTTACATCTTTTTATCTTTGGAATTAGAATTAGTAGAATAAAAGGAGGAAATAGACAGCAAAGGACCACAGGGCAACCCACATCCACAAAGGGGATGAGGATACAAGGCAAGAACTGATATTTATTGCATTTCAAGTCTCACAGCTGGATCTTTATACATGTTATTTCATTTGTATGTCCTAGTGGTCCAATAAAGAAGTTGCTACTGTCTGCATTGGCATTTGGAATTTACATTTAAATTTTTAACTGTGAACGGGACTGTGCCCTAAACTTTCTTCATCCTCTGCTTGCCCTGGTTAATTAGTTTTTCTCCATCTAACCAAATATATGTTCTTACCTGAAATTCCATCACTGAATTCACCCTTTTAGTTGAAGACACCATCTCTGTAAAAGTCTTCTGCTGGAGCTCGCACTACCTGGGTCAGGTGAAACACCAAGACCCGATGCCGTGTCTTAGTCTCTTTGCACCACATGCCTCAGGAGGACCATGGGAGTGAGATCCTTGCACACCCGCTACCCAGCCTAGAGGTCTGGGGAGGTCCTGTTCAGTCCCTTCTCTGCAGCCAGACATTTGTCAGATGACAGGAATTTTACAGGTATCAGTTTCCATCAGCTCATAAAGCCAGGCACATATGAGTACATAGCTAGGATGTTTAATACAATTCAGGCTGCTTTTCTATTAATGCTAATTTTCTTCCTATTTTTGGTCAAATGTAAGGTGAGACAGCTCCAGTGGGCGTTGAGTTGGGCGTGGGTGTAACCAGTGTTCCTGAGTGAGTTGTCCCATGTTGAAGAGAACAGTACAAATTCTTCTTCAGACAGAACTATCTGGAAGTGAGGGTATTAAACCTTATATAAACCTGCTAATAAAGTCCCTACTCCTGACCCTGTTCTATATGGTCAATGCTGGAAATGTGCAGAACCTAGAGAGAAGCTCTTTTTCCACTTGACGCCATATTTAGCTTGGGTTTTAATTATTAAACCCTCTGGTTCGATTTGTAGGTTGCACAGCCCTCACTGCCCACACCTAATTTCTTCCTGCTCGAGTGGTTCCTAAGGCAAGAAATCTGCCAAGTGCTAGGCGTGCATCTTTCTTCCCCATAATTCTGTTTGCTGAAGTCAGTCATGTCAAAGCCAAATATAAAATCCTTGCAGAAACAGGAATCTCAGGGCTGGCTTTGCAGTTGTGTCATGGTACTAAGTTTGCCCTGGATTCTTACACTCATTCATTCTCTCCTTGCCTGTTGTGTGCCAGGAGCTGAGCTGGGGATGCAACACAGACGTCCTTACTGTTCAGGTGCTCACGTCTTAGTTGGAAGAAACAAATATGTCAATATGCAGCGATGAGGCAGAACTTTCAAGCTGGCACAAACCTACTTGGAGATGTAATTTGTCTTGGAGTAATTTTAACATTTGCTTTAATAACTAAGTTTTTTAAAATTGGGTTTTTATGCCCTGGCTGGTGTGGCTCAGTGGACTGAGTATGGGCCTGCAAACCAAATGACCGTGGTTCGATTCCCAGTCAGGGCACATGCCTGGGTTGCAGGCCAGTTCCCAGCAGGGGACCCACGAGAGGCAACCATACATTGATATTTTTCTCCCTCTCTCCTTCCCTTCCCCTCTAAAGATAAATAAATAAAATGCTTTTAAAAAATTGGGTTTTTACCTGAAAATGCAGATTTCTGGCTTTTCTGGAAGAACTGGGGGATCGACTACCACAAGGCCTACACGTATAAACAACTCGGTGGGGCTGAACAGCGACTGCCTTCCGACAGAGACCATACTCTGGGATTCTTCAGTCTCTACTGTCTTCCCGTGAACCTCTTGACTTCTTTTTTCCAGCCTCCTTTTTGAGGGGTTTGTATTTGTGAATTTGTGATAAATACTGTGCTTGAAGATTTATGTGGGGAAAAGCAGCAATGCGCCAAGCCCACACGAGACACAATAGGTCCCAGAGCACAGGTGGCACACACAGGCCCGTGGGCCGAGTCCAGCCCTCCACCTGGTTTCATCTGACCCGGCATCTGTTTCTACCTGGCAGCAGCACTGAGCTCTCACTTAACTGTTAAGGAGCGGTTACGTTTACACAGCCCTAAAATTACATTCGGCCCTCTGGAGGCAAAGGTGAGGCTGATGTGGCCCCCGGGGAAAATGACTTTGAGACCCCTGCCAGAATGAGGCTCAGTCCTGAAAAGTGAGAGGGAGCCACAAAGGACGACCTGCAGAGCTCATTCCAGGGCTCAGCAGGTCCGAAGGTCTGAGAGAGAGCACCGTGAGCGCAGGAAACCACCGCAGGTACCTCTCCACAGCTGGGGAAGTACGGAGAAGCGTCCGGGACCCAGCGTATGCAGCTAGAGACCACGCAAGGGCAGGAAGATCCTTTAAAAATAATTCAGACTTTATCCTGGGGCCAGAAGTGACCCACAAAGTAGTTCGAGCAGAGGAATGGTGTGAGGAGACCTGAGTTCTGGGAAGCTCGCTCTGACAGCTGCTTGAAGAATGGACTGACGGGGCAAAACCTGAGCCAAGCTCATCAAGAATCCAGTGCTGTGCCAGAGAGATGCTGGTGGCTGCATCGGGACAGTGACAATAAATATAACGAGGAGGGGATGGAGTCAAGAAACATTTCAGGAAGCAGAATCTAAAGGACTTGACGGCTGTTTTTCTCTGAGGGGTCAGGCCAGCAGCAAAGACACAGTGACACACAGGTTTCTGGCTTTGACTGCGGGGTGCCTGGCAGACTGCTGACCCAGACGGAACGACGGACCCGTTATGAAAACCAGGGTGCCCCCAAATCAGGAGGCCTGGGTTTCAGCCATGGCTTTGGCATTTAATTCAGTCTCTCCGGGCTTGCAGCTTCACTTGCACGACGAAGGCGCCACCCCAGGGTGACCTCTGGGCTCCCTTCCATCTCTGTAGTGTGTCACTTTTTTTCACTTCGGTGAGAAAATGTGGAATCAGATGCAGAAATATCAAGATGCTCATATTTTACAGAACCTGAGAATTCAGTGTAAAAGGAATTTAAAAGGGTGAGCCCAACCCTTCCTATACTTGAATTCCTTTGCAACAAACTTGTCAGGGGCTTGTTCCACCTCTGCTTGAACACATCCAGCACGAATTCCTTATCTCCTAGTGCACTGAATTCTTAGTTTTAAAACATTTATCCTGATGCTCAGCCAAAATCTGCCCCTTAGGGTACCTCGACCTTTGGTGAAAAAGTACTATATTTTGTTTTAAGATCTAAAATCAAGTCCTAGCTTTGCCTCTTAGGAGAAAGACATTAAAGCCCCAGTTTTGCCACGTGTAGAAGGGTTTTATATAACCCGGGAGAATTTTTATAAAAGGAGTACTATATCTGAAAAAGGACCCAACGCAGCCCTCCCTCAGAAGGCTTCCCACAGCTGTGGTGGGAGGGCTCGGTCCGCAGCAGAGGCCTCACCGCGGCTGTGCACGCTCCGACCCAGCAGCACCTGGAGGAGCTCGCGTCCGGGCCACGGGATCGCTCAGCCTGCTTCAGCTCCGTCTCGTCTTCAGGGCAGGAGCTCTGTTCTGCGCGTCAACTGCTGTCACACGAGAGCCTGCTGATGGCCCGTCTGAGATTACAAAACAGCCAAGCGCACTAGAAAGTAAGCTCCCCAGAGAGGATCCCTCTTCCCTTACTCCCTCTTTAATGGTTGTGACCTCCTGGAGCCAGTCTGCCTGGGTTCAAACCCCAGGTCTGATATCTACTAGTTGTGTGACCCAGGCCAAGTTACTTAACTCTCTGAACTTCAATGGCCTTTATCAAATGAAGACAACAGTACTTCCTTCACAGGGCAGTTGTAAGACTGAATGAATTAACTGGTATAAAGCGCTGACAACATGGCTGGGCACACATGGAAGTGCCTTAAAACCAAAAGTCAAACATGCCTGCATTCAAACTCCAAGTCATTATTTTAATAAGATTTCTAAGTACCGAATATCATCAAGACCGGCTACATATTCAAATTCTATCAAGCATTATTTAACTAGACCCATTCAATAACCCTTAAGGTATAACTATCTCTATTTTACAGATTAGGAAACTGAGGCATAGAGGGCTGAAGACTTGAAGGCTCTTTTCCATATACCTTTTCTGAGGTGGTGGAGCTCAGGCTTTTGGGATCCAATTAGATTGGAATGAATACAAGCTCAGTACTAGTAACTATATAGTTTTCCTCCCAGTGACAACTCCAAGTCTCTCTGGCTGTTGTGAGGATGATATACGAGGTAAAGAACCCTGCACGGCCCTCACCGGTTAACATCCCTGGAGGATTTACTGTTCCTACACTCCAACTGCACCTTTAACTCACACGTGACCCCAACACTGCACTCATGAGCGAAGTAGTGGGAACCGACTTTATTTCTTACCCTGGATCCCTCGTTCCCACAACCCTGGTTCTCTTCTACAATTCAGCCTTTCTCTTCTATTTTGGGTCTAAGGATGGTGGCAAGCAAGATCAAGAATTCCCTCAGGGACGAAAATTATTCCTTGTTCAGCTCTCATTCGGTCCTTGGCCCAGCTAATTGCCCAAGTTATGGAAGGAGTATCTCCTCACAAAAATCTATGTTAGTTCAAGGAACTATCTATGTGAAAAAGTAAAACTGTGAAAGCTGCTTTGGAGTTGGCCCTGGCAAACAGACTATGGCTTAAAGAAAAAAGATTATGGGGGGACCTCCAGTCAAGATGGTGGCATAGGTAAACATGGCTCGCCTTTTCCCACAACTACATCAAATTACAACCAAACAACAGAACCATCATTCAGAACTGTCAGAAATTGAGCTGAATGGAAGTCCTACAACTATGAAATTAAAGAAGAAACCACATGGCTTTTTTTCCCAGTGGCTTTTCCATACAAATGACTTGACTAGTAGGAGGGGCAGACATGCAGAACAGTCTGATCTCACACCCATGATAAAAATCAGCAGGGATAGCTCAACTTCATAGGACTCCCCTGAGGAGCAAGAGGTTCCAGCCTTCCATCAGACCTCATAGTCCAGGGTTCCAGGGCCAGGAAGAAAAGTCCCCACACCATCTGGCTGTAAAAAGCAGCAGGGATTGAGACTGAGGGATATGGGAACTTCTGGAGTTCCTCTGAAAGGGCCCATGAATGAACTTAGACTAACTCCCTCAGATTCAGCATGAGGGCAGCAGCCTGAAAGGCACCAGGGACATATAGGGAGGAACTGAACTGTCTGGCATCAGGGCAAAACCTGGGGGACAGCTTTCTCCCAGAAAGAAGTGTTGGCAGAGGCCGTTGTTCCTTTGCTGAGCCCTCCCCGTTACAGAGCCAGCAGGTGGGCAACATATCTGAGTTTCCAACAACCTGACTAAGTGTTTACCCTGCTGGGTGATTCTGAGACACTACCCCACCCAACTTTCAGGCCCACCCAAGCTGTTTCCAGTGGCTTTTCCATATAAATGGCTTGTCTTGGCTTATGCTTCAGATTTTCCTGAATTCTCTCAAACAAGCAGCATTTGACCCCAGCATGCCCTATACCTCTAAGTGGCGCCAGGCCAGGCACTAGCAGCAGCCAGCGTTGGCCTTGCCTGGGCATCTCCAAGCCAAGTATAGGTAGCAGCCATCTGCAGACTGCTTTATAGCTTAATGCTGGGTGGCCACAGGTAGAACACAGGTGGTGGCTGACCTTGGCCTGCACCTCCCAGGAGGCCCCAGAGCCACTGTATCCAGGGGACTGCCTCAGACCACATTCAAGCACCACGACCAAACCACCTGCACAAGCTACGCACTCAAGGGGCAGACTCATTGGGCACCATATCCCTGCTAAGTAAGTCTTGCTCTGTGGGGTGGGGACCCTGCACAACTGATCCTCCACAGTGTTCTGAGGTCAGCGGGCAGTGGTCACAGCCAGTCCTTGCATCTGACTGTCCTGGCTAAATGCCTCCCACAGATGTACCAACAGCAATCAAGGCTCAACTACAAGAGCAGGGTGCATAGCCCACACAGAAGGCATACCTTGCGTACCCAGTTTGGGTAATAGGGGTGGCTGTGCCACTTGACCCTACAGGACACCTAGTATATAAGGCCACTTTACCAAGACAACGAGAAGTAGAGCTGCTCTACCTAATATACAGAAACAAACACAGGGAGGCTGCCAAAATTAAGAGACAAACATGTCTCAAATGAAAAAACAGAACAGAACTCCAGAAAACGAAATGGGGACAAGCAGTGTACTAGATGCACAGTTTAGTGAGACTGTCAATAGCATAAAAAAGAACCAGTCTGAAATGAAGGGCACACTAATTGAAATAAAGAAATCACTTACAGGGAATCAACAGTAGGATTAATGAAGCCAAGAATCAAATCAGTGATTTAGAATATAAGGAAGCAAAAATTACCAAATAAGAAGAGCAAAATAAATAAATAAAAATTTTTTAAAATTAGGATTGTGTAAGGAGGTACTGTGACAACTTCTAATGTACCAACATTGTCATCATGGGGTTGCTGGAAGGAAGGGAGAGCAAAAATTTGAAAACCTATTTGAAAAAATAATGACAGAGGAACTTCCTGAAGTTGGTCAAAGAAACAGACACCGAAGTCCAGGAAGCACAGAGTCCCAAACAAGATGAACCCACAGAGGCCCACACCATCATTAAAATGCAAAATGTTAAAGATAAAGAGAGAATCTTAAAAGCAGCAAGAGAATAGCAGTTAGTTACCTACAAGGGAGCTCCCGTAAAACTGTCAGCTGATTTCCTAAAAGAAACTGCAAGCCGGAAGGATTTGAAGAAATATTCAAAGTGATTAAAAGCAAGGACCTACAACCAAGATTACTTTATTCAAGAAAGCTATCATTTAGAGTCTAAGGACAGATAAAGAGCTTCCCAGACACTTGAAAGCTGAAGTAGTTCATCTCTACCAAACCAGCATTATATGAAATGTTAGGGTCTTCTTTAAGATCAAAACTATGAAAAATAAAATGGCAATAAGTAGATACCTCCCAACAGTTGAATCTAAACAAAACAAAATAAATGAACGAATAGAACATAAACAACCACAGATACAGAGAATGTTTTGACAGTTGCCAGAAGGGAGGGGGTTGGGGGATGGGTGAAAAGGTGAAAGGATTAAGAAATTTAAATTGGTTGATACAGAATAGTCATGGGAATGTAAAGTACATACAGCACAGGGAATATATTCTATAATAGTCTATAACAGTTTAAGTGTGTCAGATGGGTGTGAGATTTATTGAGATGATCCCTAAGTTACATAATGGCTAATAACTGGGGTGTACACCTGAAACTAATATAATAATGTATGTCAACTCTAATTGAAAATGAAATGATTTAAAATGACCGACTCTAATAACAGGTTCTTTGGAGATAACTAAAATCTGGATCTCTGTTTCAAGCCGGAGGAATGAAAGCATATGGAATACATGTTGGTTCTATAGCCACACAAATTACTTGAAGGACCATCTTGGTGCTTTTTCGACTTTATTATAAGGAGTGATGGTGAGGAGAGAACAGACTGGAAGGTTTCTGTTTTCTTAATGCAAAATAGTTTATCTTGTGTTTGATACCAGATGAGAGTGTAAGGGTCACATGTCCCTCCCATATACCATTTCCAGGTGAATCCTGCAGGCTTCTGCCTCACTCTGACATCCATGAAGGGCCTTCTCGGTCACAGGAGTGAAGACTGCTTGTGACTCAGCGCCTGGCAGGTTTGGGCATTATGTAAACTTTTACAGACTTGCTGAAGGGGATGGTGCCCTCGATGCTGGTTTCCGCCTGGGATGGGATCTCGCCCGCCTCGATCCAGGGGGATTTTGGAATGCGCGAGTTGGAGTTGTAGGCCAGCAGCAGCCTCACTTCCACCTGGCATGGTTCTGGGAAAAAAGACAAAAGAAATCTTTTATGACCGGGCATGGCTAGGAACTGGGATAAAATGTCCTGTAAAAGCAACATGAAAGATGGAAGCAGCAGGGCCTCAAGAACCTTTCTTGATCTGTCCACATCCCTTCCTCCCCCTCCACCAAACAAAGACACCTTCCCAGCCTGCATCCTCTGAGGTTGATTCTAAGCCTGCTTCTCTGCCACTACCTCCTCCTCAGGTGTCTGTGGGCTTCCTGCAGCTCAGAGCCATGACTGCTGATGATGAGAGAGCAAGCTAAAAAAGGCCTCCCAGCCTCAAGACAGAGGCCCACATGCATGTGGCTGATTCTCATGCCCAGATAATCATGCTCTTCCTGCGCAGCTGATCTCAGGCCTCAGGGATGCATGTACCATGGACTCTACTATTGGTGTAGAGAAGCAACTTTTGATCTGAAAACAGTCCTGACAAAAAATTCTACCCAGTGAACAGGAACATGTTTCAGGAACCTAAAATCATGTTATTAAACCTTTTGTTCTATGACGTGACATTCTGATACCGATCTGGTGTCTGCAGGTGGACCTCCTTCAAGATGCTTACCATTTGGTTTAGGAGGCAGAGTTGGCTGCATTGCGCACAGTATATGTTCTAATAGAGTCTGTAGATAGGATTGAGGATTGAGCTCAGGAAGGCCTTGGAATAGAACATGTGCAAAGTACATAATCCCAAGAATTCTTACCCTGCCACACCATGAAAGAAAGACTAATCCCCAAAAAGTTCCAAGGCTTTGAGAGGTTCTGAGTGATTGCCTAATATGTCCACACCAGTGACAAAATTTGGATCCAGGTCACAAACTGAAGCAATTAATGTTTCTATGAACTATGTGGCTTCAGTAAAAAAGGGGAAAGGATTTCAGAAAAACCTAAGGGTATATGCAAAGGCTGGGAACAAGACAAGCTTGGGATATCTTCCTTAATTTTGAGCCTGGAGCAATCGGTGCAAGTATTAAAGGTGAGTCCAAGGCTAAAAGTTCAGCTGGTAGGAACAGAGGGCTGGATAGATCGAAATGATCAAGGGCAGAGGTCCTAGGACTTCTCAATGCCCCTCCCTCAGACCTCTTCCTAACTTCTCCCTAGAGATGAAAGCAGAGACGGAATTGCCATCTTCAGGGAAGGGAAAGGCTTGCACTGCAGACAACCAGAGCAACCCAGCCAATCCCGGAGAGCAGCCTGAGCGTTGCCATTTACCAGAGTTCATGTGCTATGGACATGCTCACATCACATGGGGCCTTATACCAGCCTCGAGTGCATCCAATGAAACCAGCATTGCTCTCTGGTACCAGACTCCAGTATCAGCTCTCCTACCATTTTGCTCTTTTGTCCCAGATGGCTGCCGCCAACCCCTGACCAGAACCCAGCCTCACAGAACTTGCAGGAGCTAAACCCTGGTAAGGTCAGAGGTCACAAGAGTACCTAGTCATTATGCTTTCCCCCACCAGTATGTAGTGACATTGGCAATTCAAGTCACTGCCATCAGAAGAAGGGAGAGGGGAGAGAAAAAAAGAGAGAGGAGACTGGGAGAAAGAGAAAAAAGATCATCTGGGACAAATCATGCAACCTACTTATCATACTCTACAAGAATCTCTCATGAGGTATAATTCTTACTCCCATCTTATAGATACGGAAAATAAGACAAAGAGGTAAAATAACTTCCTCATGATCACACAGCAAGGGAGGCAGAATTTGGACCCTGGTCTACATGACTCTGACTTGGTGGCATCCTGCCTCCCTGAGGAGAGACCGCTGGCAGGGAGCTGCTGAGGACCTGGAAGGAGAAGCTCCCTACCAGTACCAGGCCCCGCTCCTGGACTGGGTGAACAAGGCACGGGCACGTTTGGAAGGTTTCACTGTAGGGGCCCGGGTCGGAAGGGCGGTGCACTGGAAAACTGAGGGGTGTGGGGGCTAGGGAACTGGAGTGTCAGCCTCAGCACCGCCGGGGACGGGAAGTGGGCCTCCATTTATGCACCTGTAAAATGAAGACTAGGATACTTATTCCCCACCCCCCAAAAAAGTTGGTCTAAAGATTAAATAAATTTCAATTGCACATTTAAAATCATATGTTCAATTTTCATTATTTGTTGAGCACCTACTATAACACATGTCAGGTATTAGGGACACAGGGTACAGACGTACTGGGGATTCAGAAGTAAAAATGAGCAAGTTCTCTGCTCTAGAAGAATCTACATTCTAATCGGAGAGAAAGGCAGTAAACAAATGAGAAAACATCCAACATCAGTAAGTGCCATGCAGGAAATTATGAAAGAGACTTATAATAGCGACTGGGTAGCAACCTCTCAGAAGTAGGTGACCCTGGATGAATTTCTCAGGACAAGTACCAGGTCCAGGTCACTAGTCCCCCCAGGGGACTGCCCTGACAAGCAACAGCACTTCTTCTCTGTTGAAAACTTTTATAAAGTCATCTCTAACTAACACCTATGACCCAGTGATACCCCTGCGGGAGGGAAACCATGAATAAGGACATTCAAAAATAGCAAGCAATAACCAACAATGTGATTATTCGTATATTTTAAATCACAGTAAAAGAAAATTCCAGAAAGCACCTACCTGTTTCTAAAATAAACCAAGTTTGGTGGCATTAAACACTTTCTCCAGTAACAGCTGTACTTCTGAATCATCCTGAATGATTTAAGAAATACCAGCAAGGCCAATTCTCCCCCACAGTTTAGGTTCTGCTGAGTCTTCTTTTAAAAGTTTCTGAAGCAGTCTTAGGTTTGAAATGTAATGTCTTTGCACTTGTGTTCTCCCATGTTATTCTTACAAATTAAAAGAAATACTTATGCCACTTCCCAGTGCTTCTACAAATTATCAAGGCTCCATTCGGCCGCCACATGGGAGGCAGAACCAGACCAGGCCGTCTTGCTTTGCGTTAGCTAACACACCAGCCCCTGTGGGAGGGGAAGACGGTAACTGCTGTCATTTTATCTGATTTGGGGGAATGAACTAAATTGTTCACATACAAAGAGAATGATTTCACATTTTTGGTAAGAAACACAAAACTGTTTAATTTTCAGACACAGCAATCCTCAGAACTAACTAACAGACTGAGAATTATCATCTTCATGTGAAAGGTGAGGAAGCATTTTCAGAAGGGACAGTGGCTTGTCCAAGGTTATACAGCAAGTCTGAGGCAGAGTCAGGACAGGAAGATAAGAATCCTGGCATCCGGCCCCAGGGCTCTTTCCATGAGACTTCATTCTTTTATAATCTGCATTATCTTCTGAGGAAATCTTGTGCCTCTTGCAATCAAGCACAATCCTCAGCAGCCCTGATTCAACCATGCAAAAAACCAAATGCCTAGAGGTGGGTGTGACCTCGAGAGCACATTTTCCTGCCCACCCTGGCCCCTGACTCCTTACCTGTCCAGGCACTGTGGGAGAGATACACCTGAGTGATGAGCCGGTGCCGCCCTGGGCCGGGATTCCGGAAGTCTGAGGGCTTGGGGTGGATCATCTGAGCCTGGCCATCTGGATATAAGACCTAAGAAGTGACAGAAATGAGAAGAGGCAAAAAGAACCATGAACGTTCAACAAAATGGCTGGTGACATCTGTTGTGAACCCCCCATCAAGAGGAAAAGAAAGGTGACAAGAGCCTTCACAAAAGACTGTTCCTTGAGGGGAGGGCGACGCTACTGGCGTCGTTAGGCCCCACCCCAGCACAGAGCAGTGTTTGGTACATGTCTCCTGAGTCCAGCGTGGTGAACAAGCAAGAGTGATGAAGTGCCTCTAGAAAGTACAAGCGTAGGTAAAAATATTAATCCTGACATCAAAAGCCTTCCCAGACACCACATGGAAAGGATGACTCTCCCCTTCCCTGGCTCTGAGTCATGTCATGGCCTGGTACCCATGGCTGGCCACCAGTGCTGAGAGTAATTTGTAACTGTATTCACTCCACTGGATTATTAGCAGTTAGGAAGCTCTTCATCCCTCTTTCTGCAGACAGGGCTCAATGCAGGATTGGCTCAAATCACTGACCATTCTTTGAATCTCATAAACTGCCACAGACTTCTTCCCTCAGCATCTCAGGGGCCCTCACAGCTGTCTGCGGGGAGGGTCTGTTATACTGCAGTGTACAAAAATGGAATGAATAAATGAAGCTTATCCTAGAACCACACAGAACCTGCGCCATGTAAATATACTGGTAAGGGCAAAGTAGGGAACTGAAGGGGTCTTCCGATTTGAACTCATGTCTGAGACATGGGAGGCATGTCTCAGAGCCCCTGCCCCATAATCTCATTTCATCTCTCAGATCTTAGCAGCACTCCCCTGCCCCCCCCCCCATTCTACCCTCTTTTTTTAAAGTTGCTGTTCACCACTCTATCTCCAGGTCCCAAATCTATATACTACGGGGGGCGGGGCAGGGGAGTGTTGCTAAGTAGTATACCTGCATACTACTGGGATGCGGGTATTCTAGCTCCCTGATTCTTGTTATCTTTAAAGACAATACTTGGGCTTCATTTTTTAAGAAGGAGGGACAGGGGAGGGCTGAAACAGTACTGAGCATGTCGAAAAAAATTATAAAGACAGCAGAACCTCTCAGAGTTCTCAGCAAAACTGCCCTTGATGAAAGGCCCTGACCCCTCTGTGAAATGGTCACTGGAAGCCTTCCTTCATTCCTCCCAAGTGCAGCTTAGAAATCTGGGGCCCACGTAGGTGAAGGGAATAAAATGGCCAGTATGAATTATATTCTGTACATCAATTAGTTGCTTCCCATACATGCCCTGACCAAGGATTGAACCCACAACCTATGTATGTGCCCTGACGGGGGACTGAACCTGCAACCCTTTTTTTAAAAAATTATATTTTATTGATTATGCTATAACAGTTGTCCTGTTTTTCCCCTTTGCCCCACTCTGTTCGGTACCCATCTTCCCTCCAGCAACACACCCCCACCCTTAGTTCAAGTCCATGGGTCATGCATATAAATTCTTTGGCTTTTCCATTTCCTATACTATTCTTAACATCCTCTGGTCTACTTTGTACCTACCAATTACGCTTCTTAATCCTTGTATTTTCCCCCATTCTTCCCCCTCCCCACTGATAACCCTCCATGTGCTCTCCATTTCTGTGATTCTGTCCCTGTTCTAGATGTTTGCTTAGTTTGTTTTCGTTTTTTAAGATTCAGTTGTTGATAGTTGTTTGTTGTCATTTTACTCATCATAGTTTTGATGTTCTTTTTCAAGTCCCTTTAACATTTCATATAACAAGGGCTTGGTGATGATGAACTCCTTTAACTTGACCTTTTCTGGGAAGCACTTTATCTGCCCATCTATTCTAACTGATAGCTTTGCTGGAAAGAGTAATCTTGGTTGTAGGTCCCTACTTTTCATCACTTTGAATACTTCTTGCCAGCAAAGTTTCTTTTGATAAATCAGCTAATAGTCTATAGAAACTCCTTTGTGGGTAACTCTCTTCTTTGTCTTGCTGCTTTTAGGATTCTCTCTTTATCTTTAACTTTGGCATTTTAATTACAACGTGTCTTGGTGTGGTCTTTTTTGGGTCAACTTGTTTGGGACTCTCTGTGCTTCCTGAACTTGTATATCTTTTTCCTTTCCCAAATTAGATTAAGTTTTTTTCATTATTTTTTCAAATACATTTTCAATTTCTTGCTTTTCCTCTTCTCCTTCTGGTATCTCTGTGATTCAGATGTTGGCATGTTTGGAAATGTTCCAGAGTCTTCATATTCTCTCATTTTTAAAAACTCTTTATTCTGTACTGGTTGACTGTTTATTTCTTGGTTCCCTATGGGTTTTATTTCACTTGGTGTAGACTCCATTTCTTCCCACATGTGTTTTGCTATACTCAATGAGATCTCTAAGCATCCTTATCACCAGTGTTTTGAACTCTGCATCTGATAGGCTGACTCTCCATTTTGCTTAGTTCTTTTTCTGGGGTCTTGTTCTGTTGTTTCACTTGGACCATATTTCTTTGTCTCCTCAATTTGGCATCCCCCCTGTGCTTGTTTCTGTGTATTGGGTAGAGCTGTTCTGGCGCACCTGTTATGTTGCAAGGGGAGGAGCCTTAGGTTTTCGCCAGGGTGGAGCAATCTGGTTTGCTGCTTTGTGGTGCTGTATGTGGGGGAGGGGTCTGAGACAGAACGATATGCGCTTGACTCTTGCCCCATTTCCAGTCACTTCCCATACCCTTCTAGCTGCTGCCCTGGTACTGAGTTCAAGAGTGGGTGGGTTTGCATAAGTTCTAGGGAGCTTGTAGGTCCCTTCAAAGGACTCTCCAGTTTCTTCCACCAACCCAACCCCCACTTACTTTTACAGCCAGAAGTTATGAGGCTTTATTTTCCTAGTGCTAGAACTCTGGGCTGTGCAGGCTGGCCTGGGGATGGGATGGCTTGCTCCCCAAATATCCCTCCTGGTTTTTATCCACCACAGGTAAATATGGGACTGCCTGTTCCACCAATTGCCACTGCCTCTTTACTGCTGACACACTGTGTCCCCTCCACCCCAGTTCCCTGTTTCTGCCCCTCCTACCTGTCTAGATGAATGTTTCTTCTTTAAATCCTTGGTTGTCAAACTTCCATACAGTTCAATTTTCTGACAGTTCTGGTTGCATTTTGTTTTGAGGTAAGTTGTGATCCTTCTTATGGTTGTGTGAGGAGGGGAAGCATGTCCACCTACTCCTCCATCTTAGCTGGAAGTCAAACCCCCAACCTTTGATGTACGGGCCAGCACTTCAACTAACCAATCCACCTGGCCTGTACATTGTGCTTTAAAAAGCTGACACACCTTATTTTAACAGATAATATAATCTTGACATAACCTCATGCTCACTGCTACATCCCTAACACTGACAGCACTGTCCGGAACAGGAGAGTTGTTCGGGTGTGGTGGCTGGACTGGACAGCATCTTCCAACCAACAGAGAGCTGCCTCTGACCAGGCTTCAGCTTCCCATCTCCCTGACTGCAGAAGCTTCCAAACAGTCTGGCCACGCATGTAGTGGAGCTGCTTTGGAGGAGATTTTTTAATAGAGTCCAGCAAATGACCCTTAAATAATCTCGCTACAATTTTATTTATGCTCAGTTGGTCAGTGAGCTTTTTCAGTAACAGTGTAAAACAGTAGTTCTCAATCATGGCTGTACACTGAAATCGCCTATGAGCTCAGAAAGAAACAAACAATAAAACCTGGTACCCGTGGGTCCTACTCTTAGGATTCTGATTTACCTGGTGTAAGCTGAGGCCTGTACACTAGTACTTTTTAATGCTTTGTGAGTAATTGTGAAGTGCAGCTAGGGTGAAAACCCATTAACATGTATGTGTGTTGGGTGGGCAGTGGGTTACAAATCCCCAAAATAAAAATCCAACCGCAGCACAACTTTACAGCCAGCTCAGAATTAGTTCTCTGTAGCTCTCACAATTTATAATTCCTGCTGGGAAGCCAGGGGTTTTTTCCTCCACTGTTACCAGAGGCAAAGATTACCATCTTTAAGGCCTGATTCATCCTTACTTCTTCCAGGAAGCTTCCCTTGCCTCCCCAGGCTATTTTTCTGTCCTCTGATTAGACTTGTGGCCAGTGCTTGCATCCCGATTTTTATTCATACCCTTCCTGCTTGGAATGCCTCCCTTCGCCCTTATCCTTTGCTCTTACTCATCCTTTCAGACCTCACCATGCACCACCATCTCCACAAAGCCTTTTTCCCTCAGCCTCCACCACACTCTCCAAATGAAGTGCCCCTCCAGAGTAATTTCAGAAGTATTTTTAAGTACATTACAAGTGTTTTATACTAGTCAAAAATTAGAAATAACCCTGTAGGAGAGGAAAAGTAATTTTATTGCTACACTTCGAGGTTCTTGGTAGAACCATTCATCTGTCTCTCCTTGAAACTGAGCATCCTGAAGGCAGGAATTCTGACATAATTACCTTTGAGACACTGGCACTTAGCATGTACAATAGAGTAAACATTATTGCATGGATGAAAGGAAGAATGGGTGGATGGGTAAATGGGTAGTGCTTTTGTGGGCTTAACTGCAGACTGTATAAACTGATTAGTATCTGCACATCTCTCTCATCTCTAATAAGCCTACCTCTAACTTGGAAAAAAAATACTCCCTAGTGATTACATTTTCCCCACATATAAATTTTGTTTACCAGGCTGAGCCCCCCTCCCCCACAACCTGAAAAGGACTTGTTTGTTGTAGCTTGCTGGAAGCCCTGAAAAGACCAAGTCTTAAATTCACATACTCAGAATAGAAAGGGCCTGGTCATTTAGTGAACCCTTAAGGTTCCAGGGACTTTATATACATCATCTCATTTCAATGTCAACTGTTCCTGTTTGTTAGTTGTAGAATCTGAGGTTCAGAGATTAAGATAACTTGCTCCAGACCACGCTCAGAAGTAAAGTTGGGCTTCAAGCGTAGGCTCATTTCTGAAGACTCATTTCTTCTCTATTCCCACTTCCCATACCTCAGGTAGAGATGAAAGGGGTGCTAAAGTTAAATGCAAAGTTCAATACAAAGTCAGTGCAGAAGCTCTGCGGGGCCAGACCCGGACCCACCTGGACCTTCACAGTGTTCTGGGGATCCTGCACATGTTCCAGGGTTGCATCAACATCCAGGGCGACCACCAGCCCAGATGTAAACCTCAAAGGGTTGTCTGACTCGCCTGCTGGCTCAATGATGGTGGCTGAGGCCTTGTGGATCTGTAAACAAGGAGGAAATATAATGATTCTAAAGCCAGGTCATCCTGGGGTAACAAAACATGACCTTTGCCTTTCTGTCTCCTTATCCAACATATGGGGATGTGGGAGCCAATCAGAAGAAAGGCCCTAGCCCAGCTGCTCCCAAGATGAAAGACCACCCAGGGGAGCGGCTCTGCCTGGCTAAATTCACCTGAAGGGGTATGACAAAGTTCCCGACCTGCTCTGGAAGGGGGAGGTGCAGGAAGGTACTCTGCCTCAGCATGGTCTGGAGAATTTTGACCACTTCTGCAGGTTTGGAAGTCATGAGCCGAGGCATAAGGTCAAGAAGTTTGTCCACAAAACTATCCTGCAGGTGGGGTAAATCAGCGATGAAACACCTGGAGGAACAAACAGAAGCAAATAACTATGCATTCATTTTCCACAGGCTGAGCCTCGAACACCTGCCAAGCCCAAGGCAGAAAGAGTAATGAACTGGGAGAGTTCATGGTTCCCAACTGAGGCAGCCGGCTAGTTATGCCTCAGTGACACGATCATCACTAACAGCCTCATTTACTGAATACCCATTATGAACAGGTATATTCCCAAGCATTTTACATTATCTTAAATCTTCCCAGCAATCCTGTGAACTGTTAGAATTTTCTTTAATATTATAAATTCATCAATTAATTTAACAAATATGTCTTTAGGATTTACCAAGTACTATTTTAGACACAGGGGACATAACAGTAAACAAAAGCGATACAAAACGTGTTTTAAAAAAATAAGAGAAAGTTTATTTATAAAGTCAGAGGTAGAAGAAGTGACTTGTAGAAGGAATGGACTCAGGAAAAATGCGCCTGGGGGAGTGGGTGAGGAAAGATGTTGGCATGCTCCACAGAGGCAGAGAGAGATGGGTAGGCAGGTAGACAGATACATAGACAGACAGACAGACAGAACACGCCAGATGCCAAAGATGCCTGTCTTAATGGAGCTTATATTGAAGCAACAGGAACACAGACTCAGAGAGGATGATGTTTCATCAAGGCTTGAAAAAGTTAAGTAACTTATTCCCAGCTCCAAATGCCTCCACTGTACTTCTTCTGCCTTGTGGAAGGGTAGTCAAAATGTATTTCACTAGCGCGGTGACATCAGCATAGCGACTCACAGGCTAAATTAAGAAAAAGTGTGCAGCTCTAAATAGATGAGGAACTTTAACAATTCAGAGCTGTCACCTTTCCAAAAATCTCTTCAACCCACTGCAAAAACAGACTACCTTAAGGAACTGAAAACCAAAAGGCATGAACTTAGTGCACCATTTGAAGGCAGGATCTTAGAGAGAACAAGCTAGACTCTTTGTCTGCTAGAGAACAGCACCTGTTGGTAGTAGGCACCTATTGGAAGGGTGGCATTGTAACCTTGCCCTATGGGATGCTATCATCACCCAAGTGAAAAAAGAATTGAGAAGTGTAGTCATATGAAGCTCGGCTTGGTCAAGTTCATGGTGACAGGGACAAGGGGCAGCAGAATAAAGTATCAGATGTAATGGAGTACTTTAAAATCCTATAAATGTTTCCTCCTGGTATTACATAGCCAGGGCACCACAGGTTTGGTCACTGCCTGGACTCCCACTTCTTCACTGAGCCTTCCACTCATCGACTGCATCTGTTTTAGAGTTGTAGCATTCACAACTCTGAGAAAACTATTCTACAAAATAAAAGTTATTTGGAACAATTTTTTTGTAGACTGCAGATAAATATACAAATTTAAAAACAGTGGTTTAAGAACAAATAAGTTGCAGGACTTCCGCCAAGATGGAGGCGTAGGTAGAAACACCTTGCGTCCGTACACAACCAAATCTAAAAACAACAAAGTTTTAACAACAATAAATGCAACCAAACCGCACAGAAAATCAACAATACAGAGTCCAAAAACAACGGACTGCTCGGCTAAACTGGTAAGAGGGGTGAAGCCAGCAGCGGACCGGGGTGGTGCGCAGGCACCCAAAGGCGTGGATCCCAGGTGCGGGCTAGCTATGGGCGGACACAAGGAAGAGGCATGGCTGGCTGTCTGCGGTCGGTAAAGCATTTGCGTGCAGATAAACCAGTGAAGAGGTGAGCGTTGAGACCACACAGCACAGGGCAGCAGGCTCGCACATTTCCACTCAGATAAACAGACGGGGGTGAGCGGTGGGACAGACTGGGCGAGTGGAGAGGACTGCCATTGCTCCCTCTCTGACCCCGCCCCCACATACAGCGTCACAACCCAGCAACCTGGGTGGCCCTGCCCTGGTAAACAACTAAGGCTCCGCTCCACATACATAACAGGCACAAACAGATAAAAACATGACTCAAGAACAACTCAGAGCCCCAGAGCCAATAAATCTAAATGATGAAGAAATAGCCAAACTTTAAGATGCACAGTTCAAAACACTGGTGATCAGGATCCTCACAGAACTGGTTGATTTTAGTCACAAATTAGAGGGACATATGAAGGCTAAACTAATTGAAGTGAATGATAATGCACAGGAAACCAATAGTAATGGAAAGGAGACTGGGACTCAAATCAAGGGAGTAGACGAGAAGGAAGGAAAAAATGACCAAATAGAAAAGAATGAAGAAACAAGAATTCAAAAAAAATGAGGAGAGGCTTAGGAACCTCTAGGACATCTTTAAACATTTCAACATCTGAATTATAGGAGTACCAGAAGGGGAAGGAGTACCAGTCACGAGTGGAAACTTTATCTGAACAAATAATAAAAGAGAACTTCCCCATTCTGGCAAAGGAAATAGACTTCCAGGAAATCCAGGAAGCTCAGAGAGTCCCAAAGAACTTGGACCCAAGAAGGAACACACCAAGGCACATCATCATTACATTAGCCAAGATTAAATTGAAGGAGAGAAACCCAGAAGCAGCAAGAGATAAGGGGACAGTCACCTACAAAGGAGTCCCCATCAGACTGTCAGCAGATTTCTCAAAAGAGACCTTACAGGCAAGAAGGGGCTGGAGAGAGGTATTCCAAGTCATGAAAACTAAAGACCGACAACCAAGATTGCTCTATCCAGCAAAGCTTTCATTTAGAATGGAAGGGCAGATAAAGTGCTTCTCAGATAAGATCAAATTCAAGGAGTTCATCATCACCAAGCCCTTATTATATGAAATGTTGGAGGGACTTACCTAAGAAAAAGAAGATAAAAAAAGATGAACAGTGAAAGGACAGCAAACTCACAGTTATCAACAACCACACCTAAAACAAAAGCAAATTAAGAGGACAGCTAGATCAGGAGTGAACCATAGAAATAAAGATCACGTGGAGGATTAGCAACAGGGGAGTGGGAGAAGGAGAAGGGGGGAGAAGGTACAGAAAATAAGTAGCATAGACAGTACATAGAAAATAGATAGGGGGGAGGGTAAGAATAGTAGGGGAAATACAGAATCTAGAGAACTTGAGACGTGGTCATTAACTAAAGGGGGCGTAATGGTGGGGGAGGGGTGTGCAGGGTGGAGGAGAATGCAGGGGGGGAATAGAACAAATGTAATGGCGTAATCAATATAAAAAAAAAAGAACAAACAAGTTGTGACTTTTCAGCAACAGTTTATGAGTCTCCCCACATAACACTTGTCTTTTTATGGTCTAGCTGAGTGCTGAACCCAAATGATTCCTGATGGTTTTATTACTCTGTTGCTCTACATTTAGGTTTGAAACTAAGGTTAAAAAGGTTTATATACCACTAAAGGAAATACACAAATTAGGATACACTGCCACAGATAATAGCTTAATTTCATGAGCCCAACCCAGAATTCTGGCTTGTGATCACTCTTGTGGCTCTGTGAGTAATAGTCTCTGCATAACCAAGATTTTTTAAAGATATATTTTAATTTATTTATTCTTTATCCACACCTGAGAACATGCTTATTCATTTTAAAGAAAAGGAGGAGGGAGGGAGAGAGAGAAGAAAAGAAGTAGTGATAAGAGAGAGAGAGAGACAGCCATTGGTTGCCTCTTGCATGCGCCCAAACTGGGTATCAAACCCGCAACCTAGGCATACACCCTAACCAGGAATCAAACCAAACCCTTCGCTCTATGGGATGATACTCCTACCAACTGAGCCACACCCACCAGGGCCATGACCAAGATTTAATAAGCTAGAAAAGAGATGAATGAAATACTTACCTCTGAAAAAAATCCACTTCCTGTAAAAATTTCTCACACATCCCAAATAAGGGGTCAACCCTGTAGAAAACAAAATAAAAGTCATTTGCTTGTAAAATCCATGAACTGGAGTAAGAACCAAAGTCCCAGACTCCTGAGCCTACATGAAAGGAGAACGAGCATATAAGACTGTAAAAATCATCTGTAAGGGAAATACAAGACTGCTAGTGAACCTAGAGGAAAATATTTGCCCAGATCCCAAGACTCATTAAAATACTACAGGGCCCATTAGGCTCAATGACATTCAAAATCAAAGGCCATCACAGGCCACACTTGGCACCAGATGCACTAGAACACAGGACAGGAGCACAGCTTGCAGACAGTGCACGTCACAGTTCTCCTCTGTGGGAGTCCTTGCAGCAGTCCATGCAGCAGCCCTCCCACCCCCACATGACGGTCTGGGAGCTCTGACTGCAGCTGACAGGCTGGGTGCAAGGAGATGAGACCTGTACCAGGCGAGTGTGCAGATTTTCTGGCTTGGAAGCTTCATGCTCCATAATTGTTAATATGTCTAGAAGCAACCCACAGGCACAACCTTCCAGGGTCCCCACAAGGGATATGCTCGGTTACAAGAATCGCAGCACTCAATGAAGCCTGCATCCGGTAACTATAGTTCCTTCCAGTCCAGTGCAGTTTTGTCAGAGACCACTTTTACCACAGCAGTGCTATCTAACATGGTCGACACAACCAGGTTTCCAAGGAACAGATCTAGAAAGTTAACCAAAGGTCAAATTCTCATGCAATAAGGGAAAAGCTTTTGTTACTACTTTTCCCACAAACACAGACTATGTTCTTTTCTTTGTCTTGACTTTTTCAGCCTCATAGTACTTAACAATATTTTATTACACTAAAAACTCATTGCATACATCAATAATCCAGGCAACATGCTAGGCCACTGTAAGTTACTAATCACAAAACAGATTTCTCCTTTTGACCTTTGTGCATTTTCTTTCATTTCATGTAATTTCTGCATGAAACTTCCCATTTTCATATTATTATTATTATACATATCAATACATTATTTATTGGAGGAGTAAAAGTTTCACTGAAGAGAAACAAATACTCTTTTCTTTATACAAAACTATGTAAGAGAATTCTGCCCAGGTTCTCAATGACCTACATTTCTACTAAAATGTAAGTTCCATGAGGGTAGGAACTTTGTATTGTTCACCATGTATTACCTGACATAAGCAGTTATTCAACAAATGTTTGTTGAATGAATAAGTGAGAAATGGCAAATAAAAACTTACTCTACAAGCGACACTCATTTAAGTTACTTTCCTAAACAGACAGCACTTGAAACTTTCTCTGATAAACTACCAGAGTGCGACTGAAATTTAACGGAGAGGCTACCCCACCACAGACCTCCAGGACTGTGAGGGCTGACAGGAGAACTCCAGCTAAGCACGGACTGAAAGGCAAGCAGTTTGGCCGAGCAGCGTCATTTTTTGACCTGCATACACAGAACCAGCTTGGAGAAATTCTGAACAGTAAAATACAACAACAGGGGAACTCTCCCCAACCCCCCAAACAGAGCAGGCAGCCTCCCCTCCATGCTACATAAAGGGGCCCCTACCACTTAGAACTCCCATTCTCCCTTGCGTGAGGAAGGAGAGCAGTGGAAGAGCGAGGTCGATTAGGTGGGATCAAGCACTGACCTACAACTGTAGGGAAAGCCTACGCCAATGATCAATTTAAAACAGTCTGGACTTTCATGTGTCAGTATGCAAAGACCATGGAAAAGTACAAGATGTTATGAGGATAATCAGGAGCTGTAAAGGAGATCAAGCAGATCTCGAAGAGAGAGATGAAGTCAAGGCAGGAGAGCAGAGAAACCTTTAAAAAAAATTTCAAGTAAGTAACCACGGTGAGATTTAAGAGAAGATTTGAAAGGATACTTCATTGATAAAGCAAGAGAAATTGCTACCAAAAAGGCAGGCAGAATAAAGCACACTGGAAATAACCAGTATAGCAGCTCCTCTTTATTTAACATTCTTACTTCCTGTGGTCAACAGTGGTCTGAAACTATTACATGGAATATTCCAGAAATAAACAATTCATAAGTGTCAAAATTTACAGCATTCTGAGTAGCATGATAAATCTCACAGCATCACAGTGGGGACATGAATCAGCCCCCAGTCCAGCATACATGTTGGGAACCACCCTGCCTGGTTTCAGAAGCTGTAACCCCCCATGGCTAAGGCTGTTAGAGACCTTGGGAACAAAAGCCACTCAGGAGATAAAGCTTATCATCCAGGCAGGGGCGCAGCCTCTGCCCCCTCTACTTCACCCAGCATGGCCCCAGGCAGATGACTGCTTAGCCAAAGACAGGTAAATTTCCTCAAGGGAGGGATGACCTAAAATAGGCATGGTCTGGAAGGGGCCATCAGGGAAGGACTTAGGGGACTATAGAAAAAGAGTGATGGACCCTCCCTCGCCCTTTGGCTTTGTCATAGCCTGAACCCTCATTCTATCGGTAAAAAGTCTCCTAATCTCTTGGCTGCCTGTATCTCCTACCTGACTTAAGCCTGAAACAATGCTGGAGGTGGGTGTGGCCCTGTGCTGGAAAGGGCAGGTTCCCTGGGGGGCAATCAGGCTAAGAAAGAATGCATGAAATCCTGTGAAACCCGCTTGGCTAAAAATGCCCTCAATTTAAATGACAAGGGTCCAAGCATGAAATGAGTTTGTTTCCCAAAGTTTTATGACCCTTTAGCTAACTGACCCTGACTCAGAATAAACCCTCACAGTTCTTTGAATGTTATCTATTGTTTGATCCTTACTGCCTGACAATAACTGATGAACTTTACCTGTATTCCTGTGCAAATTAAACCCAATAAAAGCCCACTGAAGAACAGGCTCAAGGCCCTTCTCCTTTGAGAGACTGGCCACCTTTCCTCCCCAAGCAGACCATGTCTTGGCAGACTTATTCTCATCCGTGGCCACCAGGGGAGGGCTCTGTGGGCGAAGGCCACCCACATGTACCTACACTGTACATGCCATGCATCCATTTGTCAATGGCCACCTCAGTTAGCAGGCTGACTACTGATGTATTACATAGTGTTAGTGTTTAAGTAATTTTTATTTTACTTAATAGTAGCCCCAAAGCGTAAGAGCAGTGATGCTGACAATTTGAATGTCAAAAAGAAGCCATGAAGTGCTTAACTGAAAAGGAATATATGTATACGAAGAAACACAGCATACATAGAGTTCAATATTATCTGTGGTTTGGGGCACCCACTAGGGGTCCTGGAACTATCCCCTTTAGGTAAGGGAAGACTACTGTAATAATGAAATCAATATTCAAAGAACACTAGAATGAAAATGATGAAAACTGAAATGGTAAATTAAAAGAGCATATTGAGGAATTTCCTCAGAATAGAGAGTACAAAAACAAATAAGAAATTATGACAGAAAAGATAAAATATAGAGAAAATGGATGTAGAAGATACAATATCTAGTATGAGAGGCTGGACTAGATGGAAGAAGTAGTAATTAAAGAAATAATGGAGGGGAAACAAAACCCTGAGCTAAAAACAAGAGTTGAGACTTCTAAGTCCCAATAAAGGTCAGTAAGAACACAAGGAAACACATACCTAGACATATCCCAGTAAAATTTCTGAATTCTAAAGAGAAAAAGAAAAGTTCACAGCTCTGAGCCAGGAAAAATAAGCTGTATACAAAGGAAAGAGAACCTGACTGACACCAGATACCCGAACTGTAACATTAAATACTGAAAGGCAAAAAGCAGTACTTATAGAGTTCTGAAAAACACTACTGGAGAGCATGTTCCAGTCAAATTAACAGTGAATTTGAACAAGAAATTTAAAAAGTCAAATGTGGTACAAAAAGAACAGTGGATGGCAAATTGAAGCTAAATAATGTTGATAATGTATATATAAAAATCAATGCATGTTTTAAGAAAGGATTCTTAAAATAAGAGCTATATTATACAAACATAAGCAGCTGAAACTAAATTCCAAATTAAATAGTGTAAGATGATTTAACAAAGCACACTAAAACTTCTCATTTTGATCTGAGATGATCATGACAGAGGCAATCATAAATTCTATTTAATTTTCTTATGCTGGTAAGTTCAATGTTAATTAAAAATATGAAAGTGGCTTTGGCCAGTGTGGCTCAGTTGGTTGGCGTGTCATCCTGTTGACCAAAAAGTCACGGGTTCGATTCCCAGTCAGGTCATATGCCTGGGTTGTGGGTTCCATTCCACAGGAGGGCGTGCCAGAGGCAACCGATTGATATTCCTCTCTCACATCAGTGTTTCTGTCCCTCTTTATCCCCCTTCCTTCCCATCTCTAAGCATGTTCTTGAGTGAGGGTAAAATATTTATATATGAAAATAATACTTAAACAACAAATATGAGCTAACTTTTATCAAGTGTTTACTCTGAATGTGCTAGGAAGTATTTTAAAGGCTTTATGTATAAAATTCAATAATTCCTATAACCCTATGAGGGAGAGGCAGGTACTACTATCATCCCAGCCTAACTTATCAGGAACAAACTGAGACACAGAAGGTTTGTGTAATTTATCCAAGGTCACTAAATTTGCAGTTGGTGGAGTCGGTATCTGAACCCATTCAATGAGGCACCACAGTGCCCTTCACTCTGATCTGCCTCTCACTTGAATAGGTCAGAATTAGGTACAGAACTTTTTAAACCCCTGGGAAAACAGGGGGTTTAAACAATCAATCCATCAAAAAATCAAAGAAGAAAAAATAGCATACGAATAGAAAACACAAAGTAATACAGCATGAGTAAAGACCAAACATATCAGAATCTTTATATAATGACATGGAAAGATGAAATACATTATTGAATGAAAAGAAAAGGAGGCAGAGCAGCAAAGTATCTTATAATTTGATTTATGTTAATAGACACACATTTATAATCTATACGTGTTATCTGGCTTGGGGAAGGTCTGTTGGCAGTTCTAGGAGAGGCGGATTGCCAGAGAACCTTCATTTAATCCACAATGTTTAAATTTTCACAACAGTCATATATAACTGAAAAATACATCTACTTTCTTTAAATATTGATGTAAAGTACAGATGCCACCTCAAGTACCTATCATTTGCCTGAGCTGTGACTGAGTAGTAGGGATTAAACATTTGTTAAATGAATGTATGGATAGCTCTAAGATTAAATTACTAATTGAGTTAATCAGGCTGCTATCAAGATAAGTGAAGTAATAAAATAATACTCAGGAAGTTCTTTCTGACCTAGTATTTTGAGTGCGTCCTTAAACACCCACATTTATCTCTCTATGACACACAGAGGCTGAAGCACCTGCTGAACGGCGCATCAGGTGTATCTTCAATCTGGCAACAAGGCACATAAATGCTGTACTGGACTAAATCTGTGATGCCACCATTCTTAAGATGCATCTTTATTTTATGAATCAACAACAAAAAACCCACTTTCAATCAATCAAACTATGGTACAGTGATAGATTTCAGAGAAGTATAAAAATGCATTTTTGCATTTTTTAAATGATGAAATACGGCAATTCTCATTATCAGAAAGCCTAAAAGCTACCATTATATTGAGTTCTTACTATGTACCAAGTACCATGCTAAGTGCTTTTACATGTATTATCCAATTCATTCTCCACAGAAACCCATGAGACTGATGCTTTCATCATTCTCATTTTATAGTCAAGGAAACGAGGCAACAGAGAGGTTTAAAAACCTGTCCGTACTCAAACAGCCAGTAACTGGAGAGAGGTCAGAGTTTGAAATAAGGTGGTCTCACTATATGGTGGATTCTCTTAATTTGTCTTTAATGCCTTGGACTTTACCAGTCCCTTCAGAAGAGAAAAATTCTAAATTCTGGTACTAAATTCTTAAAGAAATTTATCAATTTATCAAACAGAATGCCCATGTTTCCAGATGAAGTCCTATGTTGTGCTGTCGACAATAAAACACCACTGGAATGTTTGTCCAGGGATCTCCTATGAACCAAGAATAGAACCTGGAGTTATGAAAAAATTAATACCAATATCCCTTCGCTAATCTTTCCACGCCACCCCTCTGGGTGAGCTGCACATCTTACCCTCGAGTCGTTCGCGCCGTTACTATCAGCTGCAAGGCTTTGGCCTGCAGCCTCATGTGATGTATGATCACTACCTGCTTATTCTCCACACCACTGTACATGAACTCCATTTTGTAGGTCTCTTCCATGATCTACAAAGAAAAGGGAATGAACGATCAGTGAAAACGTCCACCCCTCCTTGAGAGCAGCATAGAACCGTGGGTGAAACTCTGAGCTGAGTTTTTTTATGCCTATACTTTAATTCTGAACTGAGATTTAAAAAAAAAGATTATGTTTATTCATTTTGGAGAGACAGGAAGAAAAAGAGGGAGAGAAAAACGTCAATGTGACAGAGAAACGTTGACTGGCTGCCTCCCATACACACCCTGACTGGGGATCAAACCCGCAACCTGGGTGTACGGGATGACACTCCAACCACTGACACACTGGTCAGTTGTGAGACTGGCACACTGAACTGAGGCTTTTTAAGTTCAGAGAGAAACTAACATAATTTGAGAGAAATTAATATAAGTGTTGAGAGAAATGTATAGTATTCCTTGAAAAGAAGAAAAGAAATTATTTTGTCAATTGAAAAACAAAAGACTTTCTTCTGGTAATAAAATCATCTTAGGTGATGATGCGACGATATGACGATTTAATCTCTGGTAAATTTCAAAGCACGGCTTGTCACCCTAAACCAAACTTACTGTGCTGTGGGAACAAATGAGTATGTGCTATGTATGGAAACCCAACCCCCAAGACAAGTCCTCAAGGATTTAGCATCCAGAACCAAGAACCAGCTGTTAGGCATCCAGACAGCCTGTCCTGGGGGCCTGGACTTTGGGATAAGTGCAGAAAACAAGGTCTACGACCTCAGCTGAAGCCCAGTACATCTGAAGCTCTTGCTCTATTCTATCCAAATCAGCTACTCCCATCCAAATGATGCTTCTCTTCTTCTTCCATGCCTGCCTTCCTTTGAAGAATCATTCAAAGAAATCATTCCAGGCTTTCCTACAACTGACAGTGAGACAAGATATTTAATTACATGGTACCTCAGTTTCCCTATCTGTACAAAGGGAAGAAGCAGTACCAACATTGTAAAATTTAAAGGATTAAATGGGACGTGGAAAGAGCTTAACACAGTATCTGGCACAAAGCAGCTGTAAATCCTTTCCCCTCTTTCTTCCAGACTCTAGCTCCCTAGTCCTCTCCCTCCCAACATGGCCCACTTTGGGACTCCAGTCATTAAGTTCTACTCCCCTATAATAAGCCACAAAGCAGGTCTGAGAGAGAGTTAAGAGAAGATGAAAGATCAAGCAGAATAAATTCTGGGTATCAGAGGATCTGGGCTCAAATCGCTGACTCTACTACCTAGAGATCTATGAATTTAACTTTGCTGAGCCTTAACTGTTTTACCTATAAAATGGGCTTAATACTTATTCCTACCTAAAAGGATTATTGTGAGGGTTAATTAAAATAAAGTTTAAATCATTTAGTGAACTGTAATATAACTTCCTAGTGGGTCATAATCACATGGTTATATACAGACTCACTATCCAAAAGACATGAGCCAGAAGAGGTCACTAAATCCCAATACCTAAGAATGAAGGGAAATTGCTTAAAGCTGGAAAGAAATAAACTCAAATAAAATAAAATAAAATAAAATGCTACTTAGTGAACATAAGAACCTTTAACATTCATTTAGTACAGGCTAAAAAGATAAACAACCTGAAAATTTAGCTCAACTACATTTTTAGATAAAAGATTCATGATAGCATTTTTTGGATTTTAGTGTATCTGAAATACAAGCTGAATTATCAGTTTCTAAAATACTATTTTAGTACAGAAAAGAACCTTAGAAATCATTTAACTGAACTGCCATATTTTACAGAGGAAAAAAATCCAGGGAGGTTAAATAACCTGTTCCATATTACCCAAAAAACTAGAGGCACCCCTAGGACTAGATCCCAGGTCCCTTACTCTAAAGCCAGTGCTGTGACCCCTAATTTTACGCTGCTTCTCATATCACTGACTTGTTACCACAGGCTGAAACTGGGGAGGCCACTGCAGACGCGGAGCCAAGTGAAGGCCTCCGGCTCTGATGTGAATGAGACGATTCCAGCACAGGAATCTACCGAGGAGAAGAACTCGAACAGCTCACCTGTTTTGCGGCTGCTGAGGCCAAATCACTCTGCTTCACATACAAAGGGGCGGCCACATTCCACAGCTTTTCCTGTAAGGCCTGCACAGACAAAGGAGGAGAGGAAAGAACACAGACATCACAAAGACTGGCATATCACTTAAGATTTACATGTTTATTTTGTTTTGAAAATCTACCACGAACAGGATTTCTCTTTAGTCTGATCCTTTTAAGCCCAGAAACCACACAAATGGTTTGCGTTAACCAAACTCCTGCCCATTCAATCCAATTCTTAGCCCAAAGGCTCTCTGTCCCAGACCAGTGCGTTCAAGCAGAGTGCAGGAGCCATGAAGGTCTCACCAGAATGTCGAGGCAAGCCAGCTCCGGAGGCTGGGCCCTCCATATTCCCAGAGCCGCTGCACTACCCTGACCACCTAGACCCTTCTTGCTTGACTGTGCTCCTTTTTTCTTTTTCCCATGCTCACAATTCTTTGAACAGCCCCATCACTTCACCAGCACAGCTTGCCTAGATTCCACCCTCTCTCAAGCTTCCTACATTCAAAACTCTCACGTAAAGCCACAGATTTAACCTTCTCTCTCTCTCTCTACTTCTGCCTATCCATACGGCCCCATCTCTCATCTCTTGTCTACACCTCTGTTATAGTTTCTAATTGCCACAGTCCTTATTAATTAGACATAATTCAATGACATTACAAAAAATCTAGACTAACACTGCCCAACAGAAATAAGAAACAAACCACGTATATAATTTAACATTTTCTAGTAGCCCCATTTTTAAAAGTAAAAAGAAAAAGGTGAAATTAATTTTAACAATAGTTTATTTAACCCAATATATCCAAGATAATATCATTTCACTATGCCATTAATGTTTTTAAAACTACTGAGATAGTTTACATGCTTTTTCCATACAAAGTCTAAGAAACCCAGTGTGCATTTTGCATTTGAGCTCAATTTGAACTAACATTTCAGGAGCTCAACAGTCACATGTGCCTGGTGACTATCATGTTAGACAGAGGCAGGTCTAGACTATAGATACAGAAATCTTTAAACACTCAAAAAAACATTATCTTATCAGAGTTATTCTTTTTGAACATTTGCTTACAGTCATTTCTCAAATGCTTATTTTTATACAGCTGTAGTCAGAAGGCTAAAGTAATTTTGCATGCTTTTTTGGCATATGACATTACACTGGATTTTGTGATATTATTCTTCCTAAAAATCATTACTGGCCACAGACTCTGTTGGGGAGCAGATGTGCCACAGCTGGGGTAGCTTCTCCCGGATTTCAGGACACCTGCCAGCCCACCAGGTTCCAGGCCTGGGTCCCTTACCTATCCTGACACTCCATGACACTGAGTGAACAACACAGTTCTTTTTAGGAATAATCTCTTCTCATTTCCTACTCCAGAAAAGCAGATTCTTTTCAAAGGCCTCCTTGTATTCCACGAATACGACAGCAAGCCACAGAAGAAGGAAGGAGACCGAGAGTGACACGGCACTAACTAGGCACCGACCCCAGGTGAAGGGCACTCACACATACTGCTTGTTACCTATCCTTGGCTGGGTAGAGCTATTAGCCCTGTTTCACAGAAGCTTGGAAAAGCTAAACAACTTTGCAAAGGGGCATAATGGAACTTTTTGGTGGTAATGGCAATATGCTATATCTTCAATGTGGTGGCGGTTACGCAAGTATATACATCTAAAAAAATCTATCTTGCTGAACAAGGGCTGTGTAAATTCCAACTTTCTTTGGAGTATGCACGCACCTTCACACATATATACACACTTGCAAGACCCTATGCTCGTACTTCTTACAGTGGGAAATAGTTTCTGGTTTCCATTTATTCTGACTTTGAACAAATAGCATTATAATCACTTTGAAGACTAACAACATTTGGAACTAAAGTCAAGATAAAAGCTTACCAAGTAAGAAGGGCTCTTCCAAATCCTAAACCTAAATTTAAAGCAAAACTCTTACTCTGCTGCAGAAGCTGAAAGTTATTGAACTAGTTTAACTGGTTTTCAACTCAGTAAACTGAAACAACTTCTTGGGTACCAATTTTTTGTGTATATAAATAATCTGATTACCTAGTATGAAATGCCAACAAGTTGGCCCTTTTAAGACCAACCTTTAGTTAAATCAACCTTTAACTAATTTTACTTTGACAAAGTGAAATTAGTATTAAAAAAATAGAAGTTCATATAAGTTCTTTGCTGATCCAATTAGAAAATGAAAATTCTTGGTACCCTATAAAGAAAGTGACTGTGTATTTGATCTGCTCTAATTACATGATGAAAGAATTCTACCAAATTAAAAAAATTCAAGTTCCTATGTGAGTTAACAACTCTTTAACTAGCGTTAAGTATGATTACACCACAGAGTACATAATTCTCCATTGCCAAGTGGCTGTAGAAGACGGTCTATTTTTCCAGTCACGGCCACAAACACTGCACCAGGTCTGGCGAAGGGCTCTCCTAGCACCACGCAAGCATACTGGGCGCAGACCAACCTTGATGAGGAGCAGCTGACACCGCAGATAGGCAGCAGAGAAGTCAGCGACTCCTGCCAACTCAGACTGCAGTTCTCCAAGTCTCTGCAGATCCCTGTGGTACACAAAACACCAAGACAAACACAGGATAAGGAAAGTAACGGCAACATAAAAACCATGTCAAAGCATTTTACCATTTTAAACCTAATAAACTGGTCATAAATTTCTTAAATAGCACCCGGTTCTGGGGTGATTATAATGAAAGGGGTTCACTCATACTCTGATAGTGGTGTAAGCTAATACGATTCTTTTGGAAAGTAAAATTGTACTATGTTTTAAAAGTCACATATGGTCAAATATCTCGATCAGTAGCTTTAGGCTGAGAAGTAATTCTTTTTTTAAAAATTAAAAAAAATTATTAATTTATCTTTAGAGGGGAAGGGAAGGAGAGAGGGAGAGAAACATCAATGTATGGTTGCCTCTCATGTGTCCCCTGCTGGGAACTGGCCTGCAACCCAGGCATGTGCCCTGACTGGGAATAGAACCACGATCCCTTAGTTCGCAGGCCCACGCTCAATCCATGAGCTACACCAGCCAGGGCAGAAGTAATTCTAAGAAGCATCTTCAACAGAAACAAAATGCTCAATGCCTCCTCGTATCCATTGTGTGGACTATTACAGTAAATAACTCAATAACTAATTAAATACTCGATGGTAGAAGAATTTTAAACATTACTATGTATCTAGTCAATGAAATATTCCATAGCCATTGAAATGTAAAATGGTAAGAAGGTATATAATGTCAACCATGTAAAAACTATATATAGAAGGAAACTATAGCACAGTGGTTTTCTGGATAGAGGTAATCAGGGGCTTTTTAGTGCCTTCTCCCAACTACGCTTTATTTTCCTATTGTTTTATAAAATGGACAAGTATTTTTTGTATCATCAAAAAAAAATCTGCCTGTGGACGAGAAAATAGAAAGTGGCACACAGGTAAAACAGTTGTATTAGGGGCTCGAATTACTAATGTAAAGTTTCTCAGTTTTTGAATAGATAATACATGCCTACAGAATTACACTGACAAGATACAGAATTCAAAAGATACTGAAGGATATATATATATATATACACACACACACACACACACACACACACACACACACACATCGATACAATTAAATCAGTCCACCTGACACACTGCTAACCAGTACACCCTACCAGAGGAACCACATACCCATTTCTTTGGAATTCTTCTAGAGATATGCTGTCTAGAAATCTATAAAAAAGTATTGTTTTTCTTTTCTTTCATCACTTTTGGGGTGTGTGTGAGACAGAGACCCCTAACAATCCATCTCAGAAAAAATTTTTAAAAAGCTGCCTCATTTTTAACAGCAATATCAAAACTTCATATGGGAACGGTAACTGTTAGAAATGAAAACTGAGTCAAGAGGAACGTTAACTCTTTCAGGACTGGCACAATATACGAGGTTTCATAGTAGCCTATATATAAACTCTCCATCCAGCTAAGCCCCTCCCCATACTCTCAGGCAAAGTTTTAATAGCTAATGCTGCCTCCTAAGAACCTTGATACCAGGAAGAAGATGCTCTGGAAAGGGGCACGAAGTAAATTATTCCCAAAGTAATTGAAGAAATTGGGGACTGTAGATTATATATCACCACTTGAAAGTTTTGGTGGCATGAGCTGGTTCTGGAAAGCCTGATCATGTATGGGAATCCAGTGCAATAGAAGGCAAGACCCTGTACTAGCTAGTCCCACGTGTAAAGTGCTATTTTTCCTTCCCTTTACCATCTCTAATGTCTCTCTTACAAAAGACAGCCCAGAATCATTTTACTTCTGAACCATTTCCTTTCTACAAAGATTCTGCCTTGTGTTACAATTACACTGACCAACTGACTGTGCATTAGCTGACTGCCACTGTTGTTAAGTTAGTCTACCACCCTCACACTGTAGCAATCGTTCCGAATTGCACAGAACAAGATGTAACCCAACTAGCCATGGGAAATCTGACTTACTGAACAAACAAAAATGGAAACTTGCTAGCCCTGGGCAAAATACTCTATGTTCCAGTGTTTCCTCTCTGGACCTCTTTGTGCCCACAATCCTCAAGGACCAGTTTAGACATTCATCAGGAGACTATGGACCCTTTCATGGAAAAGATTACAAACAACACTTTCTATGTGCACTGTATGAAGTGTTTTTTTTACTGGAGCTCATGGAATCCTTACAGTGTGAACTGCAATTAATCTAATTTTACTGAGAAGGAAACTGAATTATCAGAGTTTAAGTGGTATGCAAAAAAACAGGCCATGAACTCAGGTCTAATTCTAAAAGTCTTTTTCTTTTTCAACCACATCATATTGCATTTCATTTATTCATTTTCTATGAAAAATCTTTTCATATATTTATGAGCCATATCAAGTACAGATGAGACCAAAGCTGATTTAAAATCAGACCAATGTTAAGCCACATTTCTAGAGAAGTGATGTGTCAGGGCAAAAGAGCCCCTCCCAGGAACACACACCACAGCAATCCTGAGTCAACACGATGGCAATAAGTAGCATTTTAGAGATGTTATAAAAATACAAACTTACAGATATTATAATTTTTTTAAAAGCTTACATAACAAGCAGAATTCATGTTTAAATCATCGCATAAAATAGTAAAAAAGACTCTGGGTGTGTAAATCAAATGTTTATGACTAAACATTTCTTTCAATCTCTTACAATCTCTAAACATCAATTTACAATTAATGCCTCTTAGTAGTTTGGCAGAATAACAAGGAATGTTAGAAAATGCAAAATGAGTACCAAATCCTGATGACTTTTCAAAAGCTATCTTCATCCTTGCACTCAGATGATTACAAATAGCAAACATTTTATTTCCACCTCTGTACTTACAAGTTTCCAAGCTACAAAATAAGCACTGTTCCTTAGAGACATGAACCAATGCACAGCAAGAAGAGGATTTAAAAAATTTAACCCAGAAATCCCACGTTCTTTAGGGTTGATGTCTTAGAAAACTCCCATAAGGAAAGAAGTATATTTTTAAAATAATATTTTATTTTTCAATTTCAGTCGATATACACTATTATTAGTTTCAGGTGTGCAGCTCAGCGATCAGCCATTAACAGCTGAAGTGATTATCCTGATCACCTGACACCATACAGGGCCCGGCATAAATAACGCCTCCCCCCCCCCAAAAGACTGATTATTTTGGAGGGGAAGGGAGGGAGAAACAGGACAGAAACATCCCTTTTTTATTACAAAATCATAAGCATGTAATTCTGTAATATAACAATATCACACTCAAGCACAGCATGTGCCATTTTAGGTGAAATGTTCAAATTAAAACTATAAAGTATTACACCCATATTATTACCCTACCAGCCACACTCGAGCAGGCATTACTTCTGCTGGACCCTGTAGTTAACACAAAATTACTGACTACATTGCCCATGCTGTATTTAACATCCTCGTGACTATTCCATTCTGTAACTACTAACTTGTACTTCTTACTCCCTTTACCTTTTCACCCATATACCCCTAACCCCCTCCCATCTGGCAACCGTCAAAAAGTTTTCTGTAACTATGATTCTGTTTCTGCTATGCTTGCTCATTTATTTTGTTTTTCTAGATTCAATTACTGAAATGTATTTATTACCATTTTATTATTCATATTTTTATCTTTTTAAAATTCTTCTTCTTAAGGAATACCTTTTAACATTTCATGAAATACTGGCTTGGTAGTAATGAACTACTTTAGCTTTTTCTTATCTGGGAAGATCTTTATATGTCCTTGAATTCTAAATGATAGCTTTGCTGATTAGAGTAATGTTGGTTGTAGGTCCTTGCTTTTCATCACTTTGAAAACTTTTTCTGTAAGATTTTATTTATTTATCTTTAGAGGGGAAGGGAAGGAGAGAGGGAGAGAAATATCGATGTGTGGTTGCCTCTCGTGTGTCCCCTGCTGGGAACTGGCCTGCCACCAGGCATGTGCCTTGACTGGGAATCAAACCATGGTTGTTTGGTTCGCAGGCCCACGCTCAATCCACTGAGCTACACCAGCCAGGGCACTTTGAATACTTCTTGCCAATCCCCTTCTGGCCTGCAAAGTTAACTTATTGCTTTGAAAGCAATGTATTCTTATCGATTCAAGATCAATGAAGCCACACTTGTTTTAAATTCAAATAAGCTGTTTTACTACAAAAGAGCAGTCACTATTATGAAACATTTCTAACATGATGTGGTTTCTGAAAACAATAATATGTATTCCTAGTAATAACAATTTAGTGAACTTACATAAAAAATATGAGCTCTGAAAATTGGTTTAGTATTTGAAAGGACGAGGACTGTAGCATTCCTTAAAAGACAATCCCTTCTCTCCACCAATGAATGTAAACACAATTACATTCATAAAATTGAACTGGATTTACGAAATATCAATGTCGTGTCTACTATGTCAAATGAGCTACAATTAGATTTAAATTCTAAAGAAAAATTTCATAAGTGCCATGCTATTATCTATATAACTACTATTCTCAGAGTACTTTCCATAACATCGTATTCTTCACAACACTCCCAAGACCTCCACAGTACCCTCAATTTATAGATCAGGGAATGGAGGCCTGAGATTATGCACTGAGGAAGTGATAAAAGACTTGAGCCAAGCCCTCTGGATTAGAAGTTTGGTTTTACTAGATGTTTTGTGTCACACAAACTGTTAATGAGAAAGACAGCAGTGTGACCAGATGGAAGGGCTAGAAAGACGGACGCTTTACTCCAGGACTTTGCTAAGCCAAGTCCCTGATTAGCTCTACTCCCTTCTTCACTCAACGAACTTCTATTCATTCTTCGGGTCATTGATTAGATTATCCAAGGAAGGACCAGGTACCCCTCCCGGTCTTCCAGAAGTGTAAGTTCTCCTGTACTTACTGTACTGGAGCATGGAAAGCACGGCACGACATCGCTTGCTCACCTGGCTCATTCCCCAACCAGGCTGTAAAGTCTTACAGCAGGCTGTCTTGTCTACCACCATGTTCCTTCCGCCCACCGCAATGCCTGGCACGTGATGGAGAACCACAACAAATGGACAA